ATAATGTTATGACCTTATTCTCGTAATTTTACGACTATTCTCGTAATGTTACTTTATTCTCGTAATGTTACAACTTTATTCTCATAATTTTACGACTTTATTCTTGTAATTTTACGATTTTATTCTCGTAATGTTACGACTTTATTCTCGTAATTTTATGACTTTATTCTCATAAGTTATGACTTTATTCTCGTAATGTTATGACTTTATTCTCATAGTGTTACTTTATTCTCGTAATTTTTCGACTTTATTCTCGTAATGTTACAACTTTATTCTCGTAATTTTACGACTTTATTCTTGTAATGTTACGACTTTATTCTCTTAAATTTACGACTTTATTCTCGTAATGTTACGACTTTATTCTCGTAATGTTACGATTTTATTCTTTTAATGTTACGACTTTATTCCCGTAAGGTTACGACTTTATTCTCGTAATTATATGACTTTATTCTTGTAATGTTATGACTTTATTCTCGTAATGTTACGACTTTATTCTCATAATTTTACGACTATTCTCGTAATGTTACGACTTTATTCTCGTAATTTTACGTCTTTATTCTCGTAATTTTATGACTTTATTCTCATAAGTTATGACTTTATTCTCGTAATTTTTCGACTTTATTCTCGTAATGTTACAACTTTATTCTCGTAATGTTACGACTTTATTCTCGTAATGTTACGACTTTATTCCCATAATGTTACGACTTTATTCTCGTAATGTTACGACTTTATTCTTGTAAATTTACGACTTTATTCTCGTAATGTTACGACTTTATTCTTGTAATTTTACGACTTTATTCTCGTAATGTTACGACTTTATTCTCGTCATTTTACGACTTCTCGTAAGGTTACGACTTTATTCTCATAATTTTACGACTTTATTCTCATAAGTTATGACTTTATTCTTGTAATCTTATGACTTTATTCTCATAATGATATGACTTTATTCTCGTAATGTTACGACTTTATTCTCGTAATTTAACGACTTTATTCTCTTAATTTATTCTCGTAATGTTACGACTTTATTCTCATAATGTTATGACTTTATTCTTGAAATAGAAGAAAAAAAATCTCTAGCCTGGCCCTAATACTCCAGCGTAACCCATAGGGCCAAAACAATAAAAAAAAAAAATAAATAGTTGAAAGGGCTATCAAGTCTATCATTGATTATTGATCA